TGCATCATATAAAGGTACAAGTTCCCAATGAGAAATGTAATTGTGTTGTATACCTACAATGTACCAATAAAAGAATTTAATAAAAAAAAAAAAGACTGTCATGTGGAGTTTCCTCTAAGAGGCTTTTATAATCTTGCCTTAGATGTGGTTTATCTATTGTGGCTTGGGCTGTGGTCTGAGTTCTACTTCTTTCCAAACTGTTCTTCACACATCTTCTTTCTAAAGAAGTCTGCCTTAGCCTTCTTCCTTCTTCTCTTCTCTTTTTGGCACACAAGAACCTCAATGTCACTCCCCTTTTGGACTGGAGCTCTGGTGACAGGAACTATCGGGGTGGGTCTACATGACCTGCTCACACATTTCTGAACATTTGAGTGGGTGGCTCCCTCTGCCTGCTGGCCTTTCCCAGCTAGCTCTGTCCCCCAGGAAGAGTCCTCCTACTCCTTCAGGAGTCTGTGTGTGGACATCTGCTTTGTGAGTAAGACCTTTCCCCAAGCTCTTCTCCCCATCAGCATTCAATCTTCTGTGTCCTCCTTGTCCTCTTCCTCCTCCTTCTAGAACTCTTCATGTGTTTTCTGAGCATTTTTTTATGTGCTTGCCAGTATCCTTGACTAGACAGAGAGCTCTAGAAAAGGCAGGGTTTTCGTCCTATTCATCTTTTTACCACCACTGCACAGCATGCCTGGATAGACATCCAACAGACTTTGCTGAATGCATAGTCTCTTCATCGCCTGAAAATGCCTTTGAAACACCACTGGGTCTGCAAATAGTTTTCTAAGATCATTAAGTGTATTAATTTCACAGTACCATAATGAAATACATGACATAATTAACACATAAAGAGAAAATGTTTATTTTGGCTCATAGTTTGTGATGTTCCAGTCCAAGATCAGGTTATTCAATGTTTTGGGGCCTGGCAAGGGCAGCACGATGTGGCAGGAGTGTGTGGTGGAGCATACTGCTTCTGTCATGAGCCAGGAAGAGATCAAGGTCTCACTGTCTATTCTGAAGGCAGACACTCCAGTGACTTAACTTTCTCCTTCTAGGCTCCACCTCCTAAAGATTCTGCTGCCTCCGGTAGTGTCAACCTGGGAACCAAGTCTTTTACACATGGGCCTTTAGGGGACAGTACCCATATTCAAATCATAGCTTTAAGGCTGGAAGAATCTTTGTAAATATGTAAATATTTAAAATGGTTCTGTCTCCATCATTCAAGACTGTTCATCTATATCTCTTTTTGCCTTGTTACCTTCATCTCCTGACAGCTTCTCATGATCTAAGGGACCACAAGTCACATCCAGCAAACCATCCTTTTCCCCAGCTCAGTGCCTTATGACAGCTTTCATTGTCCTTAGAATAATATGTACCACTTGCCTTGGTCTGCAAGGCTGGGTGTAATCTTGTCCTGCCAACTCCCTGACCACATGTTATGTTGTTCTCTCCCTCTTAGTTCCTAGAACATGCCAGGATCCCTTCCACCTGGAGGGCTTCATACCTGCCTTTTGTCTGCAGGAACACTCTTCCTTCTGTTTTCCCTGTGGCAGGCTGCATATATTTTAGGTGTAAGCCTAAATGCCACTTTCTCACAGAGAACTTTCTTTCTTTTTTTAAATTTATATATTTATTGGTACATTTTAGGTATACAATACATTTACATTT